CACGGTCTCTCCTCTCTCTCCTTTACTCACAATCTCAGGATACTATACTCTATCGGCCTACACTCCAAGGTTTCCCATCCCATGTACCGATGCCTAGAGTTCCTCCGTCGCAGTAAGCACCGGCCGAGATACACCACTTTGCTTGGCGCATATGTGACTTTTTCATCCCTTTCCCCTGTCGACAGATCGCCGATATCGTGTGTATGATTTCGCTTTCACGGACTTAATCTGCGGAGTTCTGTGATCAACGCCTCAGCTGCACTCCACGTTGATCGTACTTATCTGGGGAGTCCCACGGCATCCTTGTAACTAGCTACACGTGGAAAAGGTATAGATGTCTCTCAGCCTTTTTTTCTTCTATATTCTATAAACTACCTAAAGTATAGGTAGTCATCATAGACATATAGAAGCTCGGAATATAGGCGTAAACTAGGTACCCATCATTCATAATCCATATTTCTGAATAAACTATAAACTATTGATCGCGTTAAACTCGCGCTTTCGACCTAATGATAACCATCTCCTAGTATTCATGCAGAAAGCCAGGCAGACCACCTTCAGATGATCAGTAGGCCAATCAGTATTGCAGGAAGACCGATGTGTGACCATAGTTCCAATAATGTTACCTATAATCACCGGAGAGTCTTGGAATACCTAACAGGTACGTCAGCGATTTTAGTCGCTCGAGAGGAACCTTGCGTAATCTCGAGTATTCTCCCGAGGTCTCCCGTTCTAGCGAAAGGATCGTTAGAGTATTCGGTATACCATAGCGGGATAGCCTTCCCAGTGACGACTAACCCCTTGTTGTCGTTATTCGGCCCATCAACTTGCGGCTTTTGATAAGTGGACTATCTAGAGTTGTGTCTAGGCCTAGACGATAAAGCTTTCGTGGTTAGTAGCTTCTTTTCTAAACAAGCTTTATTCAGCTCTTAAAAATTCATACGTTGAAGACACTATAATAAGCAATCTAGGTAATATCTGTTCAATATCAAGGATATGATACCTGGGAAGAAAGTCCGCACTAAAAGCGTTTTCAGCGCGTCTTAGGAGACCGCCAACTATAGCTAGACCAGGGAGTGTCTCAGAGCAGCTTGGAGAATATCGCCACCGGCCTCGTCTATCTCTCCTAATTGTCGTCTTACTCTTACATTAGTAAAAGAGTGCCTAGCGAGTTTTGTAGGTGTGGCTCGACTATACGCCAACGCCAGCCAGTAAGACAACGACGCCACCTTGATGGCCCAGGCCGTGCGGCTGTTTCCCTTGTCGAATTTCCTGGCTTAGATTATCTCTTGTTTTTTTTCTTCTTCTGCTCACTCCTCCTTTTTTTTTTTTTTTTTTTTTTTTTTTTTTTTTTTTTTTTTCTTTTCTTTTTCCTGTATAGAAATCCCTTTCGAAAAGCAATAGTGGCCATGCCTAGAAGCAGTCGAAACTTCAATCTTAGTCATTCGTTTCATTGGGGATTTATTTGCTAGGTTTAAGAGTTTATAATACACGTGAGAAAGGGGTTCGCAGCGGGCCGTACCGGAAGAAACGTAACCTCAGCCGCCAAGTCGTACTGCTAAACCACATATGAACTTACTCAACCACATCTTGTATGCGCGCGACCCATATCTCCCCGCAGATATCTCCTGACTACCTACCATGATCCACTCCGACGCCAACAGTTCCGCCGTCCGCTGACTATTTTACCGTTTGATTCCCCCGCGGTTAGTTCTTGGAACCAAGACTTGCCAAGCCATATAATGTACCTAGATATTCTTCAGCAAGCGGCATCCGTTATCAATTTAAGGGTTGATTCCAACGGTGTTTTGGGGGTGGCACAGACCAATAGGAATCAACTATGACTTCTCGTGCTTCTTCTTTGACATGTGCAAAGACAAACCCTATGGCTCTAAGTTTGCCTCATCTTACTTTTGGTATTATCCGCGTCGAATCCTAGAGATGCTACTTACGACTATCTCCCTGTAACCGTACCTGATGGAAGCCTCGTGAAAGTGCCCAGGACGCTAACCATTCATCCGAAATGTGGCTCGGGCTTATTTACCTAGCGTTTATTACACTCCTTGGACCGGGCCTCAATGCGGCCACGGTGGCTACCCTCTGGTAATGATCAGAGCTGGGTGTATAGGATAGAATTTGCCATGATACTTTACGGGAAGCCCGTTATCTGCCGCCGTTATCTCTTCGCCTGCGTTTTAACTGCCTTTAGACTGGAGGAATATTACCAACCGACTTGGCCTCCTTGGCGAGCTGGATGGATTCTGTATACTACTGGATTAGGGGTCTTGGAGTTTGCATACAAGGATTACGCAACAAGCTACTATGACCTGATAAGAGTTAGCGGTGTTGGCAGCGTTGGCACGCAGGCGGAATATGCTTTTGAAATCTCATCGAGATGTGAGGAACTATTCCATATCTCGATCAGTTTGGCGATGCTTACCTTGCAGGCTTGTAATATTTTGTTGCTAACGCCGTCCTGACATCAAACAGCTTGGCGCCAAGTTGACCTTTCCTAAGTTCGGAGTCCGAAGGAAGCTTTGATAAACTCGATATATCACATTTATAACGGGTACGTTGTGCGTCGTGCGTTGTGCGTTGTGCGTCGTGCGTCGTGTATTGTGTTATGCTAATGAGTTTTGATCGTAAGGCTTCTTCAAATGGTTAACTATATTGAATACATTAACTTCTAAACGCTTGAGATAGTTAAAGAATGAGGGTACAAGAGCTGGCTACCATATAGGCGTAATATGGGCAAGTATATGACGAGCTCTAGTTCTGGTAAACAAGGGCGAGCTATACTATACTAGACTTCGGAGATTCTATTGGACAAGCGCTAAGTGCCGTATCAAATTACTGTTGCTGCCAAGCTGTAGTCGCCAAGCACAGGCCCCAGCAAGAAGCCCCGGGAGGAGGAGCCCCAGGTCGGATCGCGAAGCTAGGAGTTCTCGGCGCTGGTCTGACACATTACATTGGCCACACCGGCGTGCCTAGATCACCACGTCAGATGGCGTCGTCGGGATACGACAATGGCGGGATTCCGACTAGCTGAGACCGGGCGCCCCCCGGGCCACCCTCATAATAAAACCTGCATGCGTTTATCCTCATGGATGTCCTCTGGTTAGCTAGCCAAGTTCGTCCGCCCACCTGAAAGCATAACCAATTCGGGAATTTTCCGTTTCCCCGTCTACCGTCGTATTACTATTTCACCAAGAGAGTTCTCCGCGTCGGACGTGAGGCTGGGAGGTTAATCGGAGGACCGCAGGTGGGTGGGTGGATGAGGGATTTAGACCCCTAGAGGCTATTCTACATGCGCATTGGCGGGTAGCCAAGAAATACTAAAGAAGGAGGCTTCCGGTCCAGACTATCGCGAGCTTGGCCTAGCATTTCATTTAGATCCCTCCGCCCTTATATCGCCAACGACCAAGCAGCTTTCCCATATGACCGCTCCTCACATTTTCGCACAAACGTCACCATGTCAGATGAAGAGAAATTCGAGTCTACCCCAAATATTAGCCCAGAGCCGCAGAAGCAGAGGAGCTTCTTGGGGGGTTTCTCACGGCAGCTCACAGAGGAGATCAGCGCAAGCCTAGGGTCTATACCCCTAATAGCATGCTGCTTCGCTACGGGGCTTACCGATGGCACATTGTATAACGGTAAGTTACGATAAGTGCCTATGTCGAGATCTCAGATACTAACGTTCATTTTAGCTTACGGCACTTTCGTATCGATGCAAACTGGTATGTCTGTCCACTTAGTCCTCGTCGAACGTACCTGAAATATACAAGTACCTGATTTGAGTCCTGACACGCTCATTAGGAAATACCGTCTTCGTCGCGCTCGGTACATCGGGGCAGAATAACAAGCCTTTCGGATGGGCCCGTTCTCTCTTCTCCATAGGCTGCTTCGTTATCGGATGCCTAGCCTTTTCCCGATTTCATAAGCTAATCGGAGGCGGGCGCCGCAGAACGACTCTCTTCTTCTCCTTCTTGCTGCAAACAGTCATCGTCATCGTGGCCGCGACTATTATACAGACGGGCGTGGTCGACGGCACATATCCCTCACGAAGAGATCCGGCTGACGTGGACTTCCTCGAGCTTGCTCCTATCGGGCTGCTTAGTTTCCAGGCCGCCGGCCAGATCGTCAACAGCCGCGGTTTGGGAGTAAGCGAAGTCCCTACGGTGGTCATCACAACTCTACTATGCGACTTGATCAGCGACGAGAATATTTTACAGCCTCTCAGGAAGAACGTGAAGCGCAACAGGAGAGCTATCGCTTTCATCTTGACGCTGGTGGGCGCTATATGCGGAGGTTGGATCTCCAAAGCTACCGGTGCCGTACAGCCTAGCCTTTGGTTTGTCGCCGCCATCAAGGCAGCAATTACCGCCTCCTGGTTGTTCCTAGACGGGAACCCCAAGGAGTGAACGAGTCTAAAGAGCCAGCGGTACCTCACCTAATAAACAACAGAGATGTGATGAAAATTATCGTACGTAGGTTATAAGGTACGTTAGGTATATTTGACATTTCGACCTTCCTTTACGACCGGTTACGCCAATAGAATAGAGTATACTGCCTAGACCCTTGCTATACCTTATACCTTGTAACTAGATACCTTTGATGTTGGAGGCTCTTAGTCTCGGGTGGATGGGCTTATAGAAAGAAGCTCTCTTGCCGAATGGTATTTATTACTAAATTCAACCTTCTCAAAATCGCAGTTATGATCTGATAGACTCGAGAGCATATTTGGCCGGGATAGATGATGGATTCTTCTTAGCGTCATCCACATTAAGACTTCGCGCCGTAAATATAACTTGGCGATGGCACAAATAATTGAGTTGGCTGGAATCTTTTTGGGAGCACAATTTGCTAAGCAAATGAGTTTGTCGTCTTGACGTTATGTGCGCGATCGGGATGTGGTGGCTAAATCGATGTGTAGTTTAGCGGGTTACTTGCCATATAGCTGTCCTTAAGCAGCTTATTTCACAATCGATAACCCAGTACTTGGCACTTTGGCGGAGTGGTTAACGCGATGCCCTGCTATTACCCGATAGATAAGGCATTCCCTTCGGGGGCGTGTGTTCGAATCACACAGGTGTCGATCTTTTTTTTTTTACTTACCTAATTTATTTTTGCAACTGCTGCGTATTCTTGCCCTGGTCTTTCTCACGGCCGCAATGTGACAGTTTTATCGTGACGCATTTGCGAAACCTGTCATTCTCTTATTAGATCCACTTGTCGTCATTGGAGTATCTACCTAAAGCAAGCCGTTAGAATGAATTGGCCTCCCTGATATCGAAGGCACCCACAGTGCTGCGCAGTTTCTGGTAACTGGGGAGCAAAATACGGATTGGGATGTTGGTAACCGTTGAGCCGCACGCATGTCTAACCGAGTCTCGATGGTAGGGGCGCGGAATACGACGTCAGCGGAACCCGGATACGACCCGATGGTGAGGTTCCAGACGGCTGGTATTGTACGACGGTAGCCATCGCGATAGTATGGCCACAACCGCGGAGAGTGGTAATTTAAAGGCTATGGGAGCCAAAATGGCACCGAGGGATCCGGGATTCGAATGGATGTTCGGTTATGATGTCAAAATTCTAATGAACTCGGTATTCACCACGGCGCCGGATCCACACAAGAGTATCCCTTACCTGGGTCATAATGGACGAACCTGAACCTTTGCGTAATCGGGTTGTATATGTGCTGTCGAGGACAGTCCAGGCACGGGCTCTCCAGAGTTAATGCTCTGGGTCTGATATCACCAGCATAGATTCCAAAATGGCTCGCTATCATAGTCCGAGGTCAAATATAGATCTCTCTACGATATGGTTAATTCTTTAGGTAGAGATCCGAAGATAGGCTCGCCTAACTTACCTCGCACGGGGCTACGTCCGGCGTGCGTTATGAAACTCAGCAACACATAACCCGGATTTATGTAAAGGTTCCCCCATAACATCCAATCCAGACATTGGTAGTATTTACCAGATCTTGACGGAATAGGACTACGACCATACTCGTTGAGCTCTACAAGAGGATGGCTATCTCTGGCATAGCGTAGAGCTGTCGTATACGTCGTCGCGGCTTCAAAACCGATACCGCCACAATGAAGTCATTCCAGAGGTAGCCATTTCTAGACGGATCCTTAAGATAATGAACTAAAACTGATTCCATTCAACTCGTGCTGTCAATGGCTACCTCCGAGTAGCCTCCGTGTTTTATACTTCCGCGAAAAATGAAGTTTTAGTAAATCTTGCGCCGATCATGCTCAAATGTGTAGTTTGGCAAGGAATGGGAATTCCGGTCTGTAACCCGGTTTACTTGAATCTGCTCATGGAGGGCTCTCTTATAGATATATCCGCGTTCCCCAGAATGCAGCCATGCGTTGGATGTCGACCAGTCATTTCTTACATGTAAAATTGAGACGGTGCCGTTTCTCGGCGAAAGCTAGGAATATCCGGACGAATTCAACACCCTTCGAACTGTGATACTCTGTGCTACCTCTGAAGTACATCAGATTTGCCAAATTCGAGACGTAAAGCTCGGGTTTAATCTCGTAATACCCCTGAACTATAATCCAGATGAGGTAGAATTCCGATAGGATGGTGATCTAGGGCGTTGAGGCCGGTAGTAACTTAGCTCTTGTCTTCACAGCTACCTCCGAGATGTGTTTACAGGTCGAAATAAACAATTTTCGCGTTGTAGGCTTTTCCACTTTCCCAAATCCAACTCCCTATAAGATATAAAGCTTGCTTTTTCTCTCCAGGATTGCAAGCTACAAGAACCGAAGCGTGTCTAATCTATTCCCCTTGGAGGGCCCTAGGTCGACATCATGGCGGCAATTCAACAGCCGCAGGATTGAGGCTGCAGCCCGGCCAAGTCGTATATATGCTATTCGGAGGGATTCAGTTTCAGACGAGCTTTCAAGCTACCACGTCCAAACCAGGCTAATTCGAGTTCTCATGTCCAGGGTTACCTCCGAGATATCCCCCTTGATCCTACAGCGACCCTGAATAACATACCCTTGATCCAGTGCAAGACGTACAATGTAGCGTTAACGATTTCTCGACGGGAAATGAAGATATCCGGCTCAAGATAACACCATTCGACCTTTCTTCCGAGCCGTAATCCTGTGGCACGTTTTTTCCCGATTCCCACTCGATATCGCTAATTAATTCCATCCCGCTGATATGATGCGATTCCGGAATCGAGCACTGCGATGCCCTGATTGGAGCTGTTATGACCCGATGGCCCTACTAGAACTACCTCGAGTAGCGCTACACAGTGGGCATGCGAGTAGTGCGGAATCCGAGGCATCTAATCGACGGCGAATTGACTTCTCAAATATGGAATCCAGAGGCATCCGAATTTGGACCAATACTCACCCTATCAGGTTACAACCAGATTAATTCGACTCCTTACATTAGAGCACTACCCCCGAGGCAGGTTATCGCAATGATTTGCACCAATACGCTTCAAATCAAGTCCCGATCGGAATGGTCTCATACATCCCGTGTAGAGCCGGCTATCTTGACACGAATATCGGCGATACCTGGCCCGAGCCTGCTTTATTAAGCTACCCACGTCAAGGTCATCCTCCACGTAGCGTAATCTCTCCGATATCCATCGAACTGACTTTGACCTGTTTTTACCAAAGCCAACTTTGTATTTTGCGAGTTGGATTGCTCAAGCGGTAGTGATACTACCAGGGCTGCTCTAGTACTATTTAGCTCCTTCTCGGAAGTCTGATTTAGTCCAGCTATCAGTTTAAAAGTCCCCCCTCGACCTGAACAGGTAGGCACCTAAATCCCATACTGCAACCCACTCTACCGCACACCCCCGACTGGAATCGCTAGTGTCGACGCAGCCTGATCCGATTCCTATCGTAGTCAATAGATACGCCTCGCCTAGTGGTGCAGCCTGGATTTACCTATGCATTAAACCTTAAACAACTGCCTATAAGCCTATCCACTTTAAAGCGGCCATATTCGGCTTCGTTCAGTGAAATAAATGCCTGGTTCCTGCTCTTTTGAGCCATGCCCTCCAATTGTTCCATGGTATATTCGTGCTCATGAAAGCGTCGCACGTCGAAGAAGTTATTGACAAGTTGCTGCAGCCGCACTCTGAAATAACCCCTGTATTTCTCATCCTTTGCATCGCCTACTTTAGCAGAATGCGGATGGTGATAGTCGGGATCTACAGCCCAAACCCACGCCTCATCCACCAGCCCAGTGTCCAGCAACGAATTAACAGCAGCTTGGTCAATGACTAGAAAGACGTTGCGCAATATCCCGGCACCAACACCGCCGCTGTCGAGCGCCCTTGCGTGATCGTGGGCCCTCATCCTCTTAGGTGGCTTATCGCGGACCGAGAGGAAGTGCTGCCGAAGCCGTTGAAACTTGGCATCTCGAACTTGATCGTCACGCTGAGCTGTGTATCTTCCCCCGACGTCAGGCTCTCGGTCCTCATCACCCTCCTCATCACCCTCCTCATCACCCTCCTCATCCCCCTCATCGCCGCCTCCTGCGCTTTCATCAACATCAGCCATAGGCAGCGGCCAATCCAGCCTCTGCAGATGCCACACCATTCTCACAGGATTTCCGATGCCAACTGCGGACCGGGCGTGGTAGAGCGCACCATCTAACCGCAAATCGTAGTCCTCCATGCGCTCCTGAGAGTCCCCGGCCTCCGGGTCCACGAACATGGCAAAGCCCCACACTTCCTCCTCCTTGTTTTCGGCAAACAGACGTTTCACCCACGGCTGGACGTGAGGGCTGTTGAGGATGGAGCTTTCCTCCTTGTCTATTCTCAATCGATGGGCCTCGTTGTGCCGCCTGACCGTCTCCTCCAGAGCATTGGCGATCGCTTTCTCCTCGCCTTCTTCATAGAGCTGCGCTCTGATCGCTCTAAGCTGCTCCGTGACTTGCCGCAAGTGCTCCGCGGACACGGCCTCCAGAGCCCCAGAGGCGGCAATGCGTGCCCGCAGCTCGGGGAAGCCGATGTCGAGCCAGTAGCGCTGGCGAAGAACGTCGAGCTCCGACCCCGAGAGCTGTTGGGGACTTTCCACGGCCCTCCTGACGAGATCCGCCCGGGCGAGAGAGGAAGACTTGGAGATGTTTGCCTCCAGCATTTCCGCGTCCGGGAAGTCAAGGATGCGTAGCCTTGCCTGTGCGGAAACGTCGTTGGGCTGCGGCTGCCTATTGACTTCCGAGATGAGCCTGGATAGATCCTCTGCATTGTCAATCCCGCGACATACACGCACGAAACCTGTGACTAGCTGTTCCATGATGACGGACAAATGCACACCTTGACACCGTGGGTGCTTAAGTAAAAAGGAATTCGAAAGAAAAAACAACTTCCCACGAAGCCCTCGCCGGTACTTTACCACATCAAACCAATTTTGATTCACAAAGTCGTCCAGGAAGATGTGGTGGACTCTAAGTGAGAGTAGGTTGTAAGGCTCTAGGTAGCTGCGGTAAAGCTTACATTGTGTACTTACCTAGGAGGTTCTTATATTACGTACCCCGCAATAACAAATAATAAATTTCAGTCAAACATGAGCCACCTTTCGAGTAGCACAAGAGCCCGAGCTTCCTGTCGCAATACTCGATAGCGAATAGGAATCTGACTCTTCGTAGCTCTTGTAAGTTGTAATGAGTTCCAAGGTACGAGGTACGTATTTTCGAAACTGGAGGTCCCCCTGCGGGTGACATGAACCTTAAGTTTTATGTTAAGTTCGAAGTCTTACATAAGGCCGTCGCCCGCCTGCTGGGGGACGCTG